CAGACTTATTTAAATCAAAATTGCAATAAAATTTATAAGCAAATATAACAAAAGTATTTTATGCCAGTGCAACTAACAGGAAATGAGCCTTGGGACTCTCCATCAAGCATCATGGGGAAATTTGCCCAGCATGCTCTGGGTCCATCAGGCCTGCTTGAGAGGCTTCCTTATGTGATGTCCACCATTTCCCCAATTAACTGATGATAAAGGTTCTCAAGGGCCAAACTGGGGCCACCAATTCACCTGTGACTGGAACAGGTGAACTGCTTTGTGGGAGTATTTCAAAGGTATGTGCCCGCCTCGCCCACAAGGTACTCCAGGAAAGCTGTTTTCCTCAAAGATAAGGCCATCTTCCTAGACATTTGAGATAAATATAAAAGATGACACAAAGGAGCTATTTAGCAAAGAAGGAAGAGAATTTATATGCACTGAAAGGGAGGGATTATTGTTCATTGAAAAAAGCAAATAAAAGAGCAGTACATGTATTAAGCTCCTTTCTGTGAGTGAGCTGTAAGTACACAGATACATACATGTAGACATAGACACCGCAGATCAGGGCGCACACAGGAGGTTTAGAAGAAACACCTAACACCAAACCGTTCACAGCTGCTTCTGGAAAGACAGACAGAAGGCGAGATCATGGATGAGGAAACTTTGCTTTTTAATTTTTACTGTATATATTTCCATATTGTTAGAATCTTTCTTTCTTTTTTACTTTTGAAGTCTCCATTTTAAAGAAACACAAGTTATCAGTATGCTTTCAAAAAATTTGCTGGAAATCAATGATATAATTAAACTAGGAACTACTCATATAATTAAGAACTACTTATATGCTCCAAAAACTCTAAGTCTTAAATGCAGAGAAAATGCCGTTTACCAAAGGGCTGAAAAGAGAAATAACCAAAAAAACCATTTTTAAAGGACTAAGATACCATGAAAGAACAAAGACCAAATTCACAATTTACAAAAAGATACCTAAGTTAGATGAATTCCTCCACTAAAGGACAGACTTTTAAACGCAATTCCTCCATTAAAGGACAAAAACTTAAACTGAGTTAAGGGGAAAAAAAAAACACCTAATCTATGCTGTTTATAACAGACTTATTTAAATCAAAATTGCAATAAAATTTATAAGCAAATATAACAAAAGTATTTTATGCCAGTGCAACTAACAGGAAATAATATTAAAATCAGTTGCTGACAGTATGTTGATTGTGGACAATACCAACATCAGACAAAGCTTATTTTTCACACAAACAGAACCATTCTATTAACAAAGATATAACTCACAAAGCTGAAACTCCCATAAACCTTTAAGTGACAAATTACTATATTACAGTATTGAGGGGCTTCCCTGACGGCACCATGCCTGCAATGCAGGAGACACCAGAGACTTGGGATCCATCCCTGGGTTAGGAAGATCCCCTGAAGGAAGGAATGGCAACCCCTTCCAGTATTCTTGTCTGGAGAATCCCATGGACAGAGGAGACTAGCAGGCTACAGTCCATGGGTCTCAAAGAGTCTCCAGAGAAAGTCAGGGCAGGTGACGAGGCGGGTTTGCTTCCTGGCTGGGGGGCCGCAGGCAGGCAGGCAGGCAGTGACGGGCAGCCTGAGACCCTAGACTCTCAGTAGCTCCAGCGGAGTCCGGAGCCCACCCCGTCGCCGTGGTGTCAGAGCCTTAGTCGAGTAAGCAAGGGTGCCCCTACTGGCCCCTCGTAATATCGTGCTGAAGCCAGGATTGCGGACATGGGAGCTTCCCAGGCCGCCGACCTCTGCCCTTCTAAGGTGGGGTGAGCCGAGGTTACAGGAAGGCGGGCCCTCACGTGCCCGTGGATTCCATCAGCTTTCATCACTCTCCTCGCTGTGCAATCTGTCCATCCACTACGGATCCCTATTTTCCCAGCCACCAAGTCCAGTGAATGATAATCCTTCCTGTTAGAATAAAGACGTTCTCTCTATTCTTTCCTCATCAGCTGCTTGGTACCATCTTTGGCTTTCATCCTCAGTTCATTCTGGGAGGACAGCCCCCCTGGTGTCTTTGAGGAAAATGGGCTTTATTTTGCAAGGAAGGCCGATTGGAAACAAGGTATATCCAAGGAGGACGGGCCTGAATAAGGTGGCCCTGGAGAAGATGCTGAGGAAAGAGGGGGGAGGCCTGGGGTCTTCCTGCGGTCACTTGAAAACCCCTCGTGGGTCCTCCTCACCCATCCCATCAGTAACCGGTTTTTCACAGTCCACAGTTCTGGAAGGCCCCTGGGCCGGAACCATGCTGAATCTGGGTCCATCAAATCATTCAAATGTCTTGAGTAAGGTTATGGATTATCACCCTTAACTCATCATTAGGGGAAACTAGATGGTTTGGGAGGAAAGCTAACCTCTTGTGGAGGCAAGCAGGGTTGTAGTCTAGAGAACCACTTTGGAGTTAAAAACATCATTTCAGAAACCAGCTGTGCTTCTTCCCAGCTGTGGTCTCTGCGCTTCAGTTCCCCCGTGCAACATGTGGCACTAATGATGTGAACTTCTCAGGGGGTGTTGCAAGGACTGAATGTAATAATGAGAACAAGGCATTTAACCAAGGCCCACATGTGATTTCTCAGTAACAGACAATTGCATGGGGCCGGATGGAAAGGGTGCGCTGCTGGCATAACAGCTCCATGGCGCCAGCTTGTGGTAGGTGTCTCTCAGAGCAGGAAGTTGCTCTTTCTCAAAACCAGCGCCTCTTTTTCACATGACTAGAAGCAGGTTGTGCTTGGTGAAACTCATCATTGTTTAAACATTCAAAGTTTGTAATGGTAAGTACTGTGTTGATGTCATGCAAAGCACCTTAGAATGATTTTAGAAAGCGATGCTGGAGAAGCAGCATTTGGGAGGACTCTGCCCTCTCCGTTATCAAAAAAGAAAGTGACAAGTGTTAGTCGCTCAGTCGCGTCTGACTCTTTGCCACCCCTTGGACTGTAGTCCGCCAGGCTCCTCTGTCCATGGGATTCTCCAGGCAAGAATACTGGAGTGGGTTGCCATGCCCTCCTTCATCTCCACCAGCACCTGGGTTTCCTCTAGAAGCTTCTGGCTCTGCTGCGCTCCGGTTCTCCCAGGGCGTGGTCAGCAGCAGTGAAGGTATGGGCTTAGGGAGGAANTGGAGGAGCCTGGCGGGCTAGTCCATAGGCTCGCAGATTCGAACACAACTGAGCGACCTACGCTACGACTACTACCTGGAGTCTAATGCTCTGTGTTTGTAATCTTGAAAGCCATATTGCCGTTGAATTCGTGTTTCATAAGTCATGTCCAGGAGGACCATAGTGCAGATGTTGGCTCAGAGCCTCAGCTCAGGCATGGGTCTGCCGCCAAGTCCCCCACCCCTGGTGCACCAGGCCCCACCCGGCCTCCCCTCTGCTCCCAGAGGGGTCCTGGGCATGGGCAGTGGAGGATGCCCAGAAGCCTCTCAGGACAGAGGATGGCAGCAGTGCCTCCCAATGCCTACCCCGTCCTGGGCTGGCAGCCCCATCGCGTGGTGGGTGGGCAGCCAGCTAGACGCCTTCTCTTGGCAGGGGTGATCCAAACACCCCACTCGAGGTACACAGAAAGTCCTGGCTGGAGGGTGACCTACCTGCTGCAGCTGGGGCTGTGGGCTCGACTCCTCCAACCTGACAGCGTGTCGGGCTTGTTTAGAGTCACGGGCCCCCCGGACGCCCGTCACACGCATGTGTCTCTTCTGACCAGCCTGAGGCACCCTCCCGGATGAGTCACCAAATGTGAGTTATATAATTTCAGTGATTCTGCTGATGAGCTAAATGTGCTATCTGCACTTAAAACTGGCATCACACAATATAAAAGATGAATAGCAACATTCATGCTAATAATTTAAAACTTCAATTTTTCTCAAGGAATTAAACAGCAAATAACACCACAATTTAAGCAGACAGATTTTGGAAGAAAGGACGAGGCTTTCTATGTACCTTTAATGGTACTTATTTCCTGCTTTTTGAACAAGGAGCTCCACATTTTTATTTTGCTTTGGGCCCTGCAAATTATACTCAACACTGACATCAAAGTGGTCCTGTTAGGATTAATCTGTGGGTATACCATGAAGGCACTGTAACCAGTTTGATTGTATTGCAATAATATTATATCTTTGCTGGAACTACACTATCAACTGTGTAATAAACCTGTAATAAAATAGCTAACAGCAAAGAGATCAAACCAGTCAATCCTAAAAGGAAATCAACCCTGAATATTCTTTGGAAGGACTGATGCTGATGCTGAAGCTCCAATACTTTGGCCACCCGATGTGAAGAGTCGACTTATTAGCAAAGACCCTGATGCTGGAAAAGATCAAAGGCAGGAGGAGAAGGGGACGACAGAGCATGAGATGGTTGGACGGCATCACCGACTCAATGGACACGAATTTGAGCAAACTCTGGAGACAGTGAAGGACAGTGAAGCCTGGCATGCTGCAGTCCATGGGGTCGCAAAGAGCTAGACATGACTGAGCAACTGAACAACGAAAATAGCTAATGAAGGAGTTGTTTTTCCTATTTATTATAACTCTTCATAACTTGGTCTTACTTCATTAAGCTAAAAGGATTAGCGTTGGCAAGAAAACATCACATGAAAAATGCAATGGGCACAGCAAGGACTGCTAATTCATATTACAAGTCAGAGCTTTAAAAAAAACAAAAAATCCATCAAGACCAAAATCAGTTTTGGTGGGGGATATTCCAACAAGTGTTCGCTGAGATCAGGTGTCTCAGGAGTGGCGCTCTGACATTCAACTGTAGGGACCGTCTCGTGGGGACGCAGGGTGTTTAGCAACACCCTCCCTCCAACCACGACAACTGAAAACATCTCCAGGCCTCGCACTGCCCCCGGTGAGGACCACCCGTTCGCATGGACAGACAATCAGGCAGTCAAGTGACCACACAGCCCTTGGGACCATCACATTCTCTTTCCTTGCCTCCCATGCAAACTACTAACTACGATCAACCTATACAAGAGACACTGGATATAGGAAAACTAAAGAATTCTTTTATTTAGTGAGAAAGAGGTGGACAAATGAAAGGTCACATACTGCTAAAAAGAATAAAAAGAAAAAAAAAAAACCACCACTATACCGCTTTTGGGAACATCACATTCTCTTCCCCATCCTCCCGCAGAGCAGCGGGTATTTATAAGCTCGATGTCAAGGTATTAGTGACCAATCTATATCCAGTTAGGGCTTCTCTAAGCTAAGAACATTTAAAACCTCAGACTTTTATTAAAACTTATAAAACATTTAAAACCTCTAGACACGACAGCTGTAAGCACACCATTCAGTCCCTTAAAATGTCTCAGTAAGCACTGCTCCTGAGTCAATATCTTTTCCTAATATTATTCCCCATCACCCTACATTTATAACATTTCCCCCAAAAAAAGAATATAACATTTCATGTTCCAGTAGTAATCACAGGATTAAAAGCCCAACCGGCCAAGAAAGTGTTATTCTTTCTATGAAGTGTTCTTTACAAAAGGAAGAAAGATGCAAGGTGTGGACTTTGGTAGAATTGGTGTTGGAATGCAGGATTAATACCCAAATATCCTGCCGACTCTAGAAAAGGTGCGGCTCACGGAACCACAGAAACAGGTTACAGCAGCCCATTTTTCATCTAGAAAGCGCCAGCGACGCGCAGTGTTCTGCGCAGATCCGCGTCTCTGGCCCGGTGAGCGCATGCCCAGGGTCTGCCTGCGTTTCGGCTGGTAAGTACTCTGCGCAGGTCCGCGTCTCTGGCCCGGCTAGCGCATGCCCAGGATCTGCTTGCTTTTCAGCTGGTAGGTCTTCTCAATGTCCGACAGGGCTTGAGCGCGAAGCTGAGCGGCGTGAAGCCTTTTTTTCAGGTCCTTGCACTTGGACTTGGAGGTGAGCTGACTCTCAGAATTCTCACCCCGCATGACGTTCTCTTTACTCTCCCCACTGAAGTGAACCTTCTTCTTCACGATCGACGATGGGAGATCAAAGAGTTCTTCAGAAAGAAAAAAGAAAAAGGGGCTTGAGTTAGGTGAATAGGCATTCGGCTCCTCCACACTTAACCAAACTTATTGAACATACTGAATCTCTCAGTTCATGTATGAAACCTGGGTACCTGTCATTCTCTCTGGGACAGGAATGCTAAACTGCGTGTTAAAAGATCTTACTGGCTTTATTCAACGACTCATGACTGGGGACATCGCATCCAGCAGATAGAAAGGCGCTCCAAGGAGCTGTACAAAATGAAAGCCTTTTACAGGCAGGAGGGGGCGGGATGAGGAAGTGATAGCATTGGAGAGCGGACTGCCTGTTGCAAGGTCACTTTCCTTTAGGGGACAGCAGGGATCTATTAGGCAGATGACCTCACTCGTGCTGACCAGGTAATTCCAGATTGACTAGTTTAAGATTCCATTCCTGGGAGAGGCTGAAACTGTGATAAAATTAAGCATTATGTCTTGATTTGATGATGGTTGGTGACAAGTGACTCCATTTTGGATGGGCTGCCTGCCGTGCAGGAGACACAGGAGATGTGGGTCTGATCCCTGGGTCAGAGGAGGAGACAGCAACTCACTCCAGTATTCTTGCCTAGAAAAAAAACTTCATGGACAGAGGAGCCTGGTGGGCTACAGGCCACGGGGTTGCAAAGAGTTGGACACAACTGAGCAGGCGACTGTTTTGGACCTGTTGTCTCTTTTTTAATAGGTCAGGGGCTGCAGCTGGCAGAAGTCAATCGGCCTTCTAATCTGTAGCCAAAAATCAAGGAACGTGTGCTTCACTGTCTTATCAACTTTCCTCTTAAGGTTAAATGCACTGAAGATTATGGGCCACAATATAAAACTTCTGGAAATCAATGTTACTTATCTCTATTCTTGAAAACAAGTGCCATTCTACCTGGAACACATTACTTCCAGGTAAGTATGGAACAGTTTTGGCTAAATACTTAAGAACATGTTTTAAAAATGTTTAACTCACCAGAAACTTGTTTCAAAAAGAACCTAAGCAAATTCAGCACAATAAAAGTAAATCAAATGAACAGAGAGTGAAAAATGTGAATTGTACTTTTAATGGGAAGAAAAATAATTTACTTACTTAAAGTGGCTGCACTATTAGGAACTAACAGGATTATTTGGGCATTGGGGACTGGCAGGTTTGAATTCCAGAAACTTTTGTTTCTCCTTTGTGTTCACTTAAAGGAAATATGTTCAAATATTTACTGAGCTCACTGTATGGACCACTGTGGCCCAAACAAAGGCCCTGTTGTGGCAGGAGCAGACAGAGCATCAACAGAGAAACAAGTCCATACAAGGCATATTCGAAGGTGGCACATGCTGGGGGTGGGGGGAAGGGAGATAGAAATTCTGGGGATGTTTGCAGCGATGACAGCAATAAGGTGACTTCTGAGCAGAGACCTGAGGACAGAGGGGAGGGAAGAAGCCACGGGACTGTCTGGAGAACATTCCAGACCAGAGATATGGAACGGTCCCTAGAGAGGGGCAGGCTGCAGAGAAGCGCCGCGCTTTGACTTCCTATTTCACACTCCTTCTCCACAAAGCATTTTAGGAGATTGCTTTTAGGCCTCAACTCCATGGTTTCAAATAGATCCACCTTTATTACCACAAATAGCTACCCATTTGAAGAGCAACAGTGTCAACTGTAAATCCTACTAATGAAATGGTTTTAGAAGAAAGAAAAGTCTTTAGAAAATGAGTTAGCATTTCATTAAATAGAAAGAGAATTAGCATTCATTAAATAGACTGAGGAGTGCTTTCAAAAGATGCTGTTGCTGTGATGATCTCAACTTATTTTTCTCACGGCTGAATTCTAGTGCCTGAGGATGAGGGGGCATTGCCAACCGTCCTGGGCTCACCAGGGCACCCCCCCTGCCCCCCACCCCCACGGCCTTGCTGCTCCTCTGGTTGGTGTTCAGTCGCTCAGGCAGGTCTGCCTCTTGGTGACCCCAAGGACTGCAGCCCTCCGGGAGTCCCTGTCCTTCACCATCTCCTGGAGCTTGCTCAAACTCATGTCCACTGAGTCAAGGCTTTTCTTAGGTTCTGACAAGTTCGGTTCTTCAAAGTATCTCCGACCCACACTGGAAACTGCATCCTCACAGCTCATTTTAAGTCTTTGCCATGAGTTGCACACAGGTGAATTCTTCTACCTACATATCCTACAAAGTGAAATATAGCATTCCTCTCCGGGACTTCTCACCCTCTGCTCAAAGACTCTCTGGGGAAGACAGAAATAAACTCTAACTGGAAGAGCCGTCCCCAACAGCGTCTTCAAGAATTCTCAGCAATGGGCCGGATGCATGAAACTCACCCAGATAAAAATTATTCCTCATTCTATCATGATTTATATCTAGTTTGTCTTTATGGATGGCAGTGTAGAATCTAAGAAAAGTTGAAATAAATATTATAAAAATACTGAAATGGTAGATAGTCATATTGAGAAAAAAGATACTTACCTTCCATCACTAGTTTCATTTATCTCCCTTGCTTATTACAGAGCATATGCAGATATTAAACAATCACATTTTGACATATACATGCAACTTGAATGGGTCTTAGCAAAGACCTAAAAGTGATGGCCTGTTCTACAGTTGGGTTTGCCACCCTTTTAAGCCACAGTTTCTGGGAAGGATGTGCCAAGTGTTAGTTGGTCATGCGGCAATAGTAAAATGCTGGGACTTTAACTTGGAAAGGGAGAGAAATGTAGAATTCTGATAATATACTCGGAGAAAAATCGGAAAGACACAGCAATTTTTTATGACCTAATTTTTAAAAATAAATATCAAATACTGCATGTGTAGTTTGACAAAGTGAACAAAACTGAAGATGACCTCATCCCTATGCACAGGCTCATGTCTCTGATCCCAGAGAGTCAGCCACGGCAAGAGCAGAGTTCTTACCTCCGCTGAACCAGATCCACTCAACTGAGTGCATCTCACAGCTCAGGACCCTGGAAAGCTAAAGCAGACAGCAGCTTCTGCTCAGAGCTGGCTCTCATACCTGGGCCGCCCGCCAGAGACAGGAACTTCTGCTCCTTCAGCAGGCTGTAATTCTTCAGCAGACCTTCTGCTCTGGCCAGCTTGTTCTCTGCCAGCCTCTCACGGACACAAAGCTCGCGTTCTTTCTCTTTAAAAAGGAAACGGAACAAAACAGACAGAAATGAACAAGTGGCTCTGGATGTAAACAATTCACGTTTGGTTATCTTACTGCTTTTCCTTATTGTGAGGCTGGCAGCCTGACTGCCGATGAGTCACGTTTAGTGAAGGGTTTCTTACTGTAAACTCGTCAACTGGACGGTCCCCGTGTCATAACCCAGTGTGTTCATATATTGTGTGTTGTCTTAGGTTTCCTCCTAAGGACCAGCTTAAACACAAGGACAAAGTCAGCTTCAACTTTCGGTCGTGATGTGTGGGAATAACTCACGGGGGGAGCACCAAGAGCTCCTGCCATCCTGCTCACCCCTGGGAAGGGCCAACAGTTCATTCTCCAGGCGTTACTCGGCCCAAACCCCCTCCCTCCGAGTGAACAACAGCACCCAAAGGGAAGGGAAAAAACACAGTGCAGTGAGGTGTTACTTCTTCAGATCAGTAACAAAGGCTATTATTTTTTCATGGCCCAGCATTTAGAGAGTTCAGATTTCAGCTGTTACATGAAATTACAGAACACTGAGGAAAGATTAAAAAAAAAATTTTTTGCTTGTTTTTTGTGGGTTCTTTTTTTTAAAGAATGCCTTTAACAGAAGAGACTTAGATTTTCAGGCAAGCACAAGCTGTTCCTCCTGCAGAGAGTGTATCTCACAGTCCTCGATGATTATGAGGAAGTAAAACATTAACTAATGCATTTGGGTGCTTTATAAGTACATTTAAATAGAGTACTTTAAAAGTGCATTTAAAATTAAATATAAGTACATTCATAAGTGAATGTGCATTGGCGTAAAGCTGCAGAAGAGACGGTCATGGTCTCTCTTCCCTCCATGTCAAAAGGCAGAGCCCTACCGTTGCGGGCGCCCTGTGCAACCCCCACACCTGGCTAGCAGCTCTCACTTCAGAGGCCTCAACAGACTTTCAACATCAAAAACTCCTGCGTCCGTCAACACCCATCAGAGTATTTAAACATCTTGTATCCACAGCCTCCAAGGAATGACCCGAACACGTACTGTCTTATACACTGTGCGATTTTCGAGCTGGGCCACACTGCAGCGGCGTGTCAGAAGGGAGAGACGACAGCTTTGATTCTGGAAGGTGGCAAATTCTAAGAGATTCTTTACAGTGGGAAACCTTAGGGCCCGTAAGTTAAGGAAGAAAAGAAAACAGTGGCCCTAGAGGGTGGGGTGACGACTCCTGTGCTGGCCTGTCACAGTTAGGGCCTGACCGCATGATGACAGCGGCTGATCTTGGAGAAAGAGGCTCAGCACGGAGGTGCGGCAAGCCTGATGTAGGGATTACGGCTGTGCAAGTATTTATAAAAACGCCCTACGAGACACAGACACGAGACCCTGTGTTCACGTAGACGTTCACACACTAGGATCAGCCTCTGGGAGCGCTGAGCTTTGTCCCCCCAGACTTACGCTCCAAGCTTTCTTCCCTGGCCTTGAGGGCTGCCTCCCGCTCCTGTAGCTGTATTTCCTTCAGTCTCAGCTCACTCAACACAGGGCTGGAGTCCTGCAGCTTCTCTGGTTCTCCTAATCGCCGCCCTCTTCTCTCAGGATTTCTCCTTTGCTCTTCGGCAACCAAGTCTGCTATCAAAGGATTCTCAAGAATTTCTTCAACAGAAGGTCGATGGTAATCCTGGGGGGAAAAAGACTCGGTGTTACGGGCAGACTTCATAATGGACGGACTATTTATCCTGAAAGAGCAGTGACATTTAAAACAGCATATATTCCAAAGCAAAAGAAAAGGCTCCTTTATAGGTGGCTTTTTTTTTTAAAAAATCAGGTGTTCAGTGTTACAGCTCAACATCTGTGTACACTAGAGAGATCCCTGACTCAATTCCAGCTACCATCCATCACCATGCAACTGGCCCCCTTCACCCATTTTGCCCACTGTCCCCTCCCCACATAGATGCGTCTTAAACACTGGAAAAGTACATTCACTGGTGGCTTTAACTCAGGAGGCTCTGTGTCCACAAAGCGATGCAGATTTTAATTACCTTTGCTCCCCTTTTAACCTAAGAAGGCTCAGCCCCTGTGCTGGGCTGGGTAGCACTGCCAGGGTCCGTTTGAGGGCACGCACTGTCTGTGCGTCTCTAAACCCTATTAAGCAGGATACGCTCTCCCTGACCTCCAGTCCTGTTACTTCACTTGTACCCTTCTCTTTGAACTCCCACAGCACGGACCTCAATTCTTACACCAGCCCCATCTCTCCCCCTCCCACCGCCAGGTTTGTTCTACAGTCTGAGTTATTTCCCCTCTGCTCTTTCAGCCCTCCCCACCCACCATTCCCATCTCTCATGGTCTCTAATCTCTCCGAGTTAGAGCAGAGTAATAAGATCTTATTATTTCTGGCCCCTTCCTGCACCATCTGCTGCGTTGAGGTAGGCAAGGACAAGGGGACTGAGGCTCTGAATCCTTACTGCTACCAGCCACCCGTGAGCGGGGCAGAGCGTGGGAGGAGACATAAAGAGAGCGGAGATGAGCAGCCAGCAATGCGCCAAGGATGCATGTTTTCACTTGTGTTAACAGAGAAGATTTATCAGCTAAGGAAATCTATTTAATGTTGCCTCAGTCTCCTTGCTCCACGACAGCACAGACTGCAAAATTTAACTGAGGCATGAAAACGTATGTCATCTTATAAACTTTACCTTTAAATTTAACATCCTCGCAATAATGTCGTTTAATTCATCAGAGTAACGATATGGAATTCGCCTGAATTTGCCCTCTCTGATCTTCCCAGCTAGTTCTTTCTGGTTGAAAGCTGTAAATGGAGGCCTGAAGAGAAAAAAAAAATTTTTTTAATGTAAAAATGAAAATATATAATATGAAGCAAATCAAAAGCAGAGTTTAAGGTCCAGTTTGCATTTATGTTTCTACCTCTGGGAGCTTCTTCTGTAGCTGTTTCCCATCCTTGGCACTACTGACATTTGGAGCCCACAGCTCTGTTACGGGTGCGGTCCTGTTCATCCTTATTACGGTTTGCGGCAATGCTAATCCCTGTCCCTTAGATGTCAGTAGCTGTCCCTAGTTGTGACGACTAAGATGTCTCCAGACATTGTCAAGTATCCCATGGGAAGCAAAACTGAGGGGGTAAAATCCCCCTTCCCTGCTTGAGACCCCTTGCTCTACAGAAGAGTTTAGAAGGAAAAAAAATGAAAAGAACAAAGGGAAAGAAGCAGGGTTCCGTCCGGTCCAAACCCCAGACCGCTTGACCAGACCTTCATTTCCTTTCTTCCACAGGCCTGACCTGTGTGCTCGCCCTGTGAGCTAAACTCAGCCTGACAGGGAGGCACCTAACCAGGTGACAAGCTTGAGAAGTCTCGATTCAGCCTCAGGGGTTATGTTATTAATTTGTAACTCGTTTTTTAACCTGCCCATCTACCTTAATTTGAATCCAAGGTGTGACTCTTTCAGACTTGAATGTGCATGGATGCTCAAAAAGCTGAACCCAGTCAAAGGTGACAGACCTAAGCATAGACCTCAGACTAGAAACCTGTCTTCACCATACTTACATTAACGCACATAACTCATACAGCAAACAACCCAGTGACCAGATATCCGATTTCTCGTTGTAGGACATGCGATTCATTTGTTCCTTTCATGGGGAGAGAAAGGAGGAGTTTAAAACAGACTCACAGACACAGAGAACATACTTGTAATTGCCAGAAGGGAAGCAGGGGAAGGGAAGGACTGGGAGTTTGGGATTAGCAGATGCAAACTATTCCATAGAGGATGGATAAAAAACAAGCTCCTACTCCATAGCACTGGGATCTACAGTCAAGAACCTGTAACAAACCATAATGGAAAAGAATATAAAAAAGAATGTGTGTGTGTGTATATAAAAAAGAGTAATCACCTTCTTGCATAGCAGAAATTAACACATTATAAATCAACTATACTTCAATAAAATAATTTTTTAAAAAGGTTTAAAACATAAAATAAAAAAAACCCATAAAATTACTCCTGGGACAAAAATGAAAACTTAAAAGTTTGATAATAGTCACTCAAAAAAAAGGAAATTTTTTATATTATAAATATATCATATCTATAACAAAAGTTTCAAATACAAAAGGTTGATTTCTCTTACATTAGGTCTTACATCATAAGATGGTACTTTAACTAAACTGATAATGGAAAAAAGGCAATGATCTTATCCTAATACACTTTGTCATATATGATTCATTCATCTATTTTTCATTCACGAATATTTATTGTGTTACTACAGGCAAGGCACTGGCAATTCAAAGGTGAACATGAGACATCTCTACCTCAAGGAATTCATAATCTAGAAACTCTATTTTTTTTTTAAACGGAGTAAATTATTTTATTTTCTTCGTTCAAAAAAATTTTTTTTTCATTTATTTATATTAGTTGGAGGCTAATTACTTTACAATATTGTAGTGGTTTTTGCCATACATTGATATGAATCAGCCATGGATCTACATGTGTTCCCCATCCTGAACCCCCGAACCAGAGGAAAGTCTAGGATAACATCTATCTCACATTTAAATGGATATAGGCATTAATGGTTAATTGAATTTTTTATTTATGTATTTATTTATGTATTATTATGTATATTATTATGTATTATTATGTATTTATTTATGTATTTTTCCCTTAGTCCACTGCATATACCACAGTACTAACTAATAATCTCATTGCCTATTTTAACTATCTGCCTTTCTTAACAACAGTCCGCCATGGCTCTGATTTTCAACAGAGGACAAGGAGGCAAGCACCGTACTGAAACCTTCAGGAGGCTTCTGAGTATTCTAAAGCCCAACAGGTGAGTCTGGCACTACTTCCTGACAATCAATCCCACAGGGAAGGCTCAAATGATCTAATTACAGGGACAGGAGGGAACAGGAACAAAACAACTGCACAGGTTTCAAATTTTCCAACCACCACCCCAGGATAATTTTCCTTGGCTTCTATTTGGAATCTGATCCAGTGAGAAAATGACACTGTTCTGGCCATATCTGATCTTAGTCAAAAACAAAATCATTAATTTATAAAATTGTATACTGTAGTCAGATTGGTTAACAAAAAGATTTAGAAAATCTGGAAGTGTTTGTGAACTGCTAAAAAAATAACTCTCTCTCCATCTTTATTCTGCTCATCTTTTGTATTCAACACATTGATTGGTGCTATCACTTATTGTTTCAAGCTTTTCAAAAGCCACCGTGCTATGCTTAGTCACTTAGTTGTGCCCAATTCTTTGTGATCCAACGGACTGTAGCCCACCAGGCCCCTCTGTCTGTGGAGATTCTCCAGGCAAGAATACTGGAGTGGGTTGCCATGCCCTCCTCCAGGGGGATCTTCCCAACCCAGGGATCAAACCCATGTCTACTGCATTGCGGGCAGATTCTTTATCATCTGAGTCACCAGGGAAGCCCAGGAATACTGGAGTGGGTAACCTATCCATTCTCCAGGGGATCTTCCCAACCCAGGAATCGAACCAGGGTCTCCTGCATTGCAGGTGAATTCTTTAGCAACTGAGATACCAGGGAAGTCCCAAAAGTCACTAGAGAGCCATAAATAGTTCATATCCTTTGACACAGCAATTTCACTTTGAGAGCTATACACCAAGGAAATAACCAAAGCAGAAGAAAGAATAATTCCTACAAAGATATACATAGCAGTCCTCCTTAGAATAGTGAGACATTTTGGAAACAAAATATCTAGCAATTGAGGAAACCAGTAAGTGGGTGGAAACAGTACCTCCACAGTAGGAAAAGGCAACAACAACAAAAAACAAATACTAAAGGTTAACACTGCAAAAATATGTGTGAGAAGTGAGTGAGTCTCCTGGGTCCGGATCTCCACATACAAAAATCATCTAGGGTGTCTGTTAAAATACAGAGTCCAAAATAAAAAAGGTGGGGGACAAAAAGACAAAAAGTTGAGTGCAAAGACCTGTCCAGAGGGCCTAAGTCCCTGGATTGGAGCCCAGGACTCTGCATTTTAAACTATCCCTCCAGCTGAGAACAAGCTGGTGTCCAGGACCTATGGCACTTTGGGAAGTACTGTACGTAAGGGCAGAGACAAAACCTATTTCATCTCTATGATCCCAGAGCTTAGCACATGGCAGCACATTCAGTGAAAGTCTGACTTGCATTGCTGATATAGGAGTTTAGTGGTCTGGTGGTGGGACTTCCCTGGGGGTCCAATGATTAAGACTTCGCCTTCCAATGCAGGGAGTGCAGGTTTGCTCCCTGGTTGGGGAGCGAAGATCCCACATTCCTTGTGGCCAAACAAACAAAACATAAACAACAGAAGCAATATTGCAACACATTCAATAAAGACTTTAAAACAGTATTATTAATTCTTGGCTATTAGATATTACTAAACAAAGAAATAAACAAAAAGCTCAATTTCCTTGCTTGAATGCTTAGCATTAAGATGTTTTAAAAGTATATAAATTTTGAAATACTTACAGGAGACATGTAATAAGGTGTGCCAACAAATGTTTTTGCAAAACTCGTATCGTGGTTTAATATTCTAGCTAGTCCAAAGTCTCCAAGCTTAACGTTCTGCTTGCCATCCAGAAAGACGTTGGCTGGCTTCAGATCCCGATGCAGCACAGTGTGGCCGCCATCGCTTCGTCTGTGACATTCCTTCAGAGCCAGGGTCAACTGAGCCATCACCCGAAGAACGAACTCTTCATCCAAGTACTGTCTGAAATCAAAGCAGTGACGTAGCACGTATCTGCTGAATAGAACCACTACAGAGATGAAAGGCTGTGAAGTATCTAGTTTGCTAAGTACACACATAGGGAAGTAAATTATTTGGATATGAAATTAAAGTGTTGACTTACCAGGGATTTCCTAAAGTACTGTGGACCCATCGAACACACACAAGAAGACTCTTCCCCATCACTAAGTACTTTGTCCCTGATCCTAATATAGGATGCTTACAGAAACAAAACTAGGCCCATTTAAGAGATGGATTTATCTCACCTTTCCTTGGTTCCCTTTGAAATTACACTAGCGAGGTCTCCTCCTTCACAACATTCCATTACAATGTACAGTGTCGTGTTGGTCCGGTCAATAATTCTATCATAGTAGCGGACAATGTTTGGATGTTTCAGCTCACGGAGCAAATTCACTTCAGAAACAAGCATTTGTTTCTCAGTTTCTGTCATGGAGCCATAGTCAAGTTCTTTCCAAACTAATATCTGAAATAAAAATTTCCAAGGTATAAATGAACTCATTATAACTCCAAATTTTTAAAATTAAAAAAAGTTACTTCTCTAGTAAATAGATCATACAGTCACTATTATCTAATTTAGTTTAATGAACTGAGGACCCCTGAGTTTATTTCCATCACCTTCCCCTAATTTTTAAGCAGTAAATGATGCAACAGAGGGTGATGAGGTAGGTTAGGCCGCCCCCAGCCCCCTACCCTCAATGCCTAGTGGGAGGTTGGCAGAAGGTACTCTAGTCAAAGCTGGAGCAGAGGTGATTCAAGTCCCCGACCATTCCAACTAGTCAAGATTTCCAGGGTAAGAAAACTTGGTAAAGACCCCTCCATCGAGCTAACTTCCTTTCCATTATTTTTTTTTCTGTGTAGGTCTACCCACACACCTTGGGAGATATGAATCTAACAATCAGGATAATGGGTAACTTATTAATTCTGACTACAAAAGTTCTAGGTTCTGATGGTTATGACAGAGAGAATTACACTTCTCTAAAAACAGCTCAGGTGTCAGCTACCAGTCACCAACAGAAGGCCCATGGCAGGTCAAAGCAGGAAAAAGGAAGAAAATGGAAGAGAACAGAAAAAAGACAGGAGAAGAAAAAATATATATACATATATACATTCTACTTGGCACATTTTATTAGTTTTACTTCGGCCACCTGATGAGAAAAGCTGACTCACTGGAAAAGACTCTGATGCTGGGAAAGACTGAGGGCAGGAGGAGAAGGGGACGACAGAGGACGAGATGGTTGGAAGGCATCACCGACTAAATGGACATGAACTTGGGCAAACTCCGGGAGCTGGTGAAAGACAGGGAAGCCTGGCGTGCTGCAGTCCATAAGGTTGTAAAGAGTCGGACACGACTGAGCGACTGAACAACAACAACGAATTAAGGGAAAGATTCACAAATTAAAAAAAAGAGAAAAAAAAAAAAAGGATGCGGCTTCCCATCCCTTGAGAGACCCGGGTCAGACACAGATCTAGGAGAAAGGGCTGCCTCTTCTGAGCACTCTTGCGTTTCAGAAGCACACCTCCAGGCTCCCTGCTTCCTCTGGGCGGCCGGGGGGGCAACAGGCAGGGACCAGGCCCGCGCTCACCTTGCCGTCGCTCTTCCTGCGGATCTTCTGGCAGCGGCCGTAGGAGCCCGTGCCAATGGTGTACAGCACCTCGTAGTCCTCCACCCGAGTCGGCATGGCGGGGCCCGCGCAGGACGCCGGCCCGGCTCCTCGGAGGTGCAGCCACCGACCCACAAACCTCCAGCCCCGGTGCCCGGCCGCCCTGATCTTCCGCTCCGGTTTAACCGTCGCGGGCCCCGGCCTCGCAGCCTATTGGCCCGCGGTAAGGCCGCTTCGCCTCTCTAATTGGTTAAGAAGAACACAACACGCTGGGCATCTTGGGAAAAAAGTATCGCTAGGCAACCGCGTCGGCGTCGGTGTCAACTTCCGCTCCCAACCTCCAAGGAGAAAGGGGCGAAACTAAAGCCTAAGGTGGGGCTGGGGACGGAAAGCTGCAGCGGGGGAGGGGGGCGGTCCCCGCCACCTTGTGCCTCCTCCGGCTGAGGTTGCCGAGGCAACCGAAGTCCAGAGATCTTTCTTCACTTTTAGGCGCACAGCTTCACCGACTGCCATCTGACCTTTGCACTCTGACCTCTCACACTACCCCACCGTCCGGCCCGCGCCCTCCGCTTTCAGGTTTCCGCCCCCTGAACCCGGGCGGGGTCATATACTAAATCCTGGGCGAAAGCTGAGTGCAGAAATGAAAAGTACTGGCCCTCTCTAAAGGGTGCGCGAGTGAGGCCGATACTGCTGCGGGATTGTGCCAAGCACTTTACATGTATTGTCTGGTTTGTAATGCAGGAATTAGTGTTATTTCCCATGAAGAAACGGAAGCGTAAAAAGCGAGGAAGAGAAGACTCAATGCAAAAACAGTGGATATTCATAATAATGATTTAAAGTTTTCACATGACTTTAGGGTGCAGACATCCTAGAGAGACTTTATTTTTTTTTCTTTTATTTTTTTTCTTTTCCATTTATTTTTATTAGTTGGAGGCTAATTACTTTACAGCATTGCAGTGGTTTTTGTCATACATTGAAATGAATTAGCCATGGATTTACATGTATTCCCCATCCCGGTCCCCCCTCCCACCTCCCTCTCCACCCGATCCCTCTGGGTCTTCCCAGTGCACCAGGCCTGAGCACTTGGAGAGACTTTATTTTTGAACACCAAACTTAGAGAGGCCTATTTAACATGCAGAGGACGTGTATAAAATCTCCAGGTGGAATATGGAAGTCTTTGTTTTGAACCCAGAAGAATATGGTGGTTCTATAAGACAGAGATGGGCTTACCTGGTAGCTCAGTGCTGAAACAATGTGCCTGCCAATGCAGGAGATGCGGGTTTGATCCCTGGATGGGGAAGCTCCCCTGAGAAGGAACTGGCAGCCCACTCCAGTATTCTTGCCTGGGAAATCTCATGGACAGAGGAGCCTGGTGGGCTACAGTCCATGGGGTCGCAAAGGATTTGGACACAACTTAGTGACTAAACAACAACATAAAGCAGAGACAGTCAGGTTTACCTTTAAGACTGTTAAAATTTTTTGTTGTTGTTAGAAAAGACTACTGAATAGGTTATCTGAGGTGCCAGACACATAATTAATTGAAACACTTTATTGAATGCAGCCTCTTCTGAGTGCACACAGAAACCAACGTTTTCAACTCACCCTGCCAGCTGGAATTGTCCCCCTTTTACCTGGGAGACTGCACCTGGAGCCCTCTATCCACGGGTGGATGGAGGAATTTATACACTACAAAAAGGCTAATAATTTGGCAATGCACAAATAGCTTAAATATCTGTTCAGCAGGGGATTAAAAGGAAACTGATTTTCTATTAATAAGAGTTACAATCCTCTATGTTAAAAATGAGGAATTCATTACATGTGCTGAATGTTACATAATTGGAATTGCCAGCCAGGAGATTTTTTTTAAAGTAATATTCACGAGCATTGTCTTACCTCAAGGGAATGGAACCATTCTATTACAAAAATTATGTAAGGCGCCACACATGGCTGAGTTAATTGGCTTTATATTTCTTAATTTTAGTACCTCTTAAAGATTTGATGGGCTTCCTCGGTGGCTCAGCTGTAAAGAATCTGCCTGCAATACAGGAGACACAGGTTTGATCCCTGGGTTGGGAGGGTCACCTGGAGGAGGGCACAGCAACCCACTTCAGCATTCTTGCCAGGAAAATCCCACGGACGGAGGAGCCCAGCAGGCTTCAGGCCATAGGGTCGCAAAGAGGTGGACACGACTGGAGTGACTGAGCATGAGCCACTAGCAAAGCTTGACATCCGTGGAATTCTCCTGCTGGCCTGCCTCACGTTCACTCCTGGACCTTCTCTCTGGCCATTGTCACGCCCTCCTGCTTTGCCCCAGTTCCCCAAACCCAGCACACTCTCTCAGTTCCCTCCTCCCTCCTCCCTTTCAGCTGTTTCTCCATTTGTCTGTAATACTGTCCATCTCATTCCCTTAGCAACTCCCCTACCCCGATGATGTCTGTCTAGGGGGCACAGGTGGTCTTTCAAGACTCTCTGCTTTCTCCTGTACCCTTTACTCTTTTCCTAGCATCCTGAAACAATGCAAGCATCAAGCAATTCCTCCATCTGCAGTGTTCTTAGACCACTTTGTACATAAATCCACGTTAACTTGTTGTTTATCATTATTTGTTTACATGGATCACACAGTAGCTCAACTCCAAGCTCCTTGTAGATAGCATAAGTCCTGTAATAAAAGAAGCGTGCAATAAATCTTTATTAAATGAAAATATAAGAAAGCAGTTTATTAATAATTGTGTAAGAATTTGTTTCAATAGCCTCCAGCCCTATGGGAGAGACTAAATACCAGGGGGAAAGCTATCCCAAGAGTATGGAGAGTGGTTCTGAAGCACATATGTTCATTCAACAAATGTTTATTGAGTACTTTCTATGTGCCAGATATAATGATAGGCTTAATGTGCTGGGTGTTCATTAAAAAAGAGACAAAGATGATACAGAGTGATATAGGTATGGCATGACAAGCCCTAATAACTGGCTGGGGTTAACCCATATCATTGGGTGGGAGTAAGGGGCAGAACATTTGGGCAGAGATCACTAGATACTGAGTAGAAAGAGACACTGGTGGCTGAAGAGCATGTGAAGGGCAATCAGGAACTCTTTAGAAGGAAATACCTCTTCCTCCATCACTTTCTCCCTCCTTCCTTCATATCCTATCCATTCTTTCAGACTCAGCTCAAGCCCGGTTTCTTCCCTTAAAACTTCCCTGGCTGCCTTCAACCCACAGAGATCTCCTAAAAGAACAACTAACTGTTCTTTACTCTTTCAGAACGTGTAATATAATAGTCTGAATTACAGGCTTCTCACGTACATCTATCTTATCTAATCTGATGATTATCTGACCTAATTATCCTTCAACAAATATAAACCAAGGCCCCTCCAGGTGCAGAAGATGCCGTGGCAGTGGGACGGACATGCAGTCCTGGAGTTGGGGAAAGTAGACATGCCAAAGTAGACAGAGAAATTCAACCATTCCAAATTCTGCTAAGAATTAAGAAAACAGGGGCTTCCCTGGCAGTCCAGTGGTTAAGACTCCATGCTCCCAATGCAGGGGGAACAAGTTTGATCTCTGGTTGGGGAACTAGTCCCACATTCTACACAACTCAGCCTAAAATAAATAAAAACAAGCAAATAAACAAACAAAAAAAAAAAACAAAGAACTAACATAGAAACAGAGACAATTATGTTGAAAGAACTAAGAGATGACCAGCTCCATGAAGGTGGGGTCAAGGCTTGAACTTGTCTATAACCAGACTCCTATGCCCAGGGTCTGTCTGATTCACTGTCTTCACAATTTTCTTGCTAAATATGCTCATGGTTGTTAGTTTTAATTTGAATTTGGTGAAATCTCAAATAAAGGTTTTTAACACTATGTGTGTTCTGCTCACAAGTGTCCTACAGGTGTTCCCAGAGACACCAGCTAATTTTTAAAAGAAGCTACTGGGAAGACTAATGTGTATGTGTATGTATTAAATTCCAGAATCATGCATCCAGCCTGGGCTGGTGATCTGTTTCACCCTAGATAATATACATGTTTCGATGCTGTTCTCTCGAAACATCCCACCCTTGCCTTCTCCCACAGAGTCCAAAATTCTGTTCTGTACATCTGTGTCTCTTTTTCTGTTTTGCATATAGGGTTATCATTACCATCTTTCTAAATTCCATATATATGTGTTAGTATACTGTATTGGTCTTTATCTTTCGGGTGGAGAGGGAGGTGGGAGGGGGGATCAGGATGGGGAATACATGTAAATCCATGGCTGATATATGTCAATGTATGACAAAAACCACTACAATATTGTAAAGTAGTTAACTTCCAACTAATAAAAATAAATGAAAAAAAAAATTCCAGAATCAAACTCTTGAGCTTTGCCCCAAATTTGTTCTATTTACTGTCTTCTTCATCTTAAGCAACTAATGTATATGATTGTGGTGGTGTTTGTTTTGTTTACTGCAGTATCTCCAGCACTCAAACTATGCCTGGACGGTAGTAAGCACTGAATTGGCATTTTACATTGAAAGAAAATACTAGCAGAAGGACAAACAAAAGAACCATCATACTCCACTGCTCTTGGCATTCCTTTGTAAGTTGCATAAGGACCCACTAGAGGGCTGTAAATCACCACATGACAAGCAAGGCATCAGGGCCTCTGGACCAGTCCACCCCCAGGCCTGTCCTGATGGGACAGTCTGAGATTTGCATGTGGAGACTTCCAATCTCAGACAAGATGTTTTGTATGCCTTATCTCCACAATTACTTGGAGCCATTTGAAGTCAGGGATTGTGGAAATTCTTTGAAGTGCTTAATAAAGATTTCTAGAAATCAAAAAAAGAGAGAGGGAGATTCTTTGCTTGGGAAGAGCATAAACCAAAAGATGTTAAAGAAAGGTGAGTGGGATAGTATGTGATCAATAAATAACCAGCTGAGTGCTGAAGAATTGATGCTTTTGAACTGTGGTGTTGGAGGAGACTCTTGAGAGTCCCTTGGACTGCAAGGAGATCCAACCAGTCCATCCTAAAAGAAATCAGTCCTGAATATTCATTGGAAGGACTGATGCTGAAGCTGAAAAATCCGATACTTTGGCCATCTGATGTGAAAACCTGACTCATTGGAAAAGACTCTGATGCTGAGAAAGATTGAAGGCAGGAGGAAAAGGGGATGACAGAGGATAAGATGGTTGGATGGCATCACCGACTTGATAGATGTGAGTTTGAGCAAGCTCCGGGAGCCGGTGATGGACAGGGAAGCCTGTCGTGCTGCAGTCCATAGGGTCACAAAGAGTCAAACACGACTGAGTGACTGAGCTGAACTGACTGAATAAATAACCATGTTCTAGAAGAAAGAATGAGTGTTATGGAGACTGACCCTAATAGTGACTCACTTCTTGATATAAACAGGACAAGATGAATGGCAGAGACAGCTTTGAATTTAATGACAGGCAGCTGATGGAAAAACATGATGAGAAGAAATTTATCTTTGAAACCGCATTGTGGTTGGTTCTGTGCTCTATCACATTTTAAAGAGGGATAGTGTCAGGCTTACAGCCAAAGATGCAAGTTAGGCGAAGGCCAACATCTGTTCAATACAAGGATAAACTTTCAGACACAGATATTCACAAATTTTACATGCTTAATGACATTTATATATTCACAATATGTATTATCAAATCTCTAAGAATATTGATAATATAAACTGGTTAAGAAGAATGTTAAAATGAATCAGATATGGGAAGCCATAATGGGAAGCTCATAATCCTAAGAGACTTTAGGATCTTTCAGAGAACATTCGTAATTTTCCCTTCAGGTGTCAGCACAGTGAAATTATAGGAGCAGTGGACTTGAAGTCTAGGAACCCAGGTTCCCCTAGTTTTGTTTTGATGAACTGTATGACCAAGGGAGGGCTTCCCTGGTGGCTCAGTGGTAAAGAACCCGCCAGCCAATGCAGGAGACACGGGGTCAATCCCTGGATCAGGAGGATCCCCTGGAGAAGGAAATGTCAACCCACTCCAATATTTTTGCCTGGAAAAATACTGTGGACAGAGGAACCTGGTGGGTTACAGTCCATGGAGCCGCAAAGGAGTTAGACATGACTTAGTGACTAAACAACAAAAGAACAACATGACCTAGGGAATCCACTTTGTCTCTCTGTAAAGTAAAGTGATACTCTGTAAAGTATTACACTAGATGGCCTTTAATGACCCTTCCAGTTTCAGAAGCTATGATTCTTTGTCCTAATAATTCACCAGAACTTCTGTCAGAGGCAGAACACTGCTTAGTTCTTGGTTTGGCCCCAGATGACAGTTCTTAGTAAGTAGCTATGTCTACATTAGCTTTCTCAGCATCCTCTCTCTTCATTCTTGATTTTTATTAGCAACACAGTGAGACGTGCTGGAAATAGAAAGATAGAAGATCAGCCCTGGACCTCAAAGAGGAACCCCTTGAAAAGGGGAGACAGGTGTAAATCAGTTATCCCTCTTTGTCTGTCTGAAAGAGCTTTGCCTAAATGTTAAGGGACCCCAGAGGGAGGAGACAGGCTCTGATAAGAAAGGCAGGAAGTACAGGTCAGGGCAAATGTTCCTAATGGAGGTGAGTCCTGAACTACATCCAAAGGATGGGTTAGAATTAGGAGAGAGGGGACTGTGGTTTGTAAAAACATGGAGGCAGGCAGGGACCTGCAGGCTGGTGAAGCCAAGGGTGCTGGTGACACTTTGTGAGACAGCCAGTTAGACCAGTGAGCAGGATGACCCAGGAGTTGAGGTGATCTTCTGAAGGTGATGGAGTCCCAGTGGAAGCTTCAAACAGTTGAGCGTTACCAGCTCATGCTCTAGAAAGGTCACCCCAATAACAAGATAGAGAATGAACCCGGGAGGGCAGGAGCATGGTGTGGGAGGGTGTGGCCGCAGCCCAGGAGGAAATGATACCAGCTGAACTAAGGTAATGGAGAAGATGCAGGGAGTCTAGAACCACTGGAGAGGTCGATTAGATGAGGTGTGGTAAGCAACCATATGTAGGGGAAGTCAGGCGGACAGCTCCGGCTTGGGTGCCCAGAAGCTTGGTGGTGGTGTCCACTGCAGGAGCCAGTACTAGAGGAGCAGGAGGTTGGGGTGGGCACCGAGGGCATGCGAGCCCACAGGCCTATGGGGCACCGACCAGTGGGCACTTGGATATAGAGTCTCAACAGAGTGGTTTAGGCGGGAGCCAGAGAGCAGGAGTAGTTGGGGAGAGAACCCAGTTGTGGGGATGAACATGCCTCGAGAGTGGCAGAATGAGAGAGCATATGGGAGGGGAGCCTGGAGGTTACACTGGGCTGAAAAGAAAGAAGGGCTTCCCAGGTGGCGCGAGTGGTAAAGAATCCACCTGCCAATGCAGGAGACATAAGAGACAAGGGTTCGATCCCTAGGTCAGGAAGATATGTTGGAGAAGAACATGGCAACCCATTCCAGTATTCTTTCCCGGAAAATCCCACGGACAGAGGATCCTGGTGGGCTACAGTCCTTAGGGTTGCAAAGAGTTGGACACGACTGAAGTGACTTAGCACAGCATAGTACCGCACAGCACAAAAAGAAAGAAAAATAGCAAAGGAGACCAAGAAACAAGACTGAAGAGGTAGGAGGCCACATGGAGACAGTACCTAACCCCGGTTCCAATAGGAGAGATGGTTTTAAGAATGTGAGAGTGCAGATGTTGCAGAAAGAGCATGCAAGGGAAAGGCAGAAATGTAAACATTGGATTCAGTCATTTGGAGAGTACAGTGCATGCATGCATGCGTGCTCAGACACTGCAGTCATGTCCAATTCTTTGCCACCCCATGGACTGTAGCCCACCAGACTCCTCTGTCCCTGGGCTTCTCCATTCCTTCCTCTTGGAGAGTAAGGTGACCTCCCTAAGAGACTGGCAAGTTAGGTGGGGCAGAGACTAGTCTGCAGGGTTTGCAGCTGGACCCAACGGGGAGGGAGGCTAGATGAAGCATGTGTGTGGACAGCCCTGGGTGGCCTTCCAGAGCAGCGGTGGGCCCAGCCCGTCTGCCCCTTCTGCACCATGGTCCTGTGCCCCGGGAGAATGAACGACCCATCCCAGAGGCATCTCCACCCTCCTTGTCACCGCTGTCATGACACCAGCCATCCACCCATCTGGTCACTCAAACCAAGAGCTGTCTGCCCGACTTCGCCTGACGTCACAGAGCATGCTCAGGACGTGTCACCCAGAGAGGCGCGTTGTTCTTCACAATAAACACCTGTCCCAGGTTCCCAGCTGGTGCCAGCCGCCGCCAAGGTTGGCGTCCGCCAAGACTTGAGTGCCAACCCACGGTGACCCTGGGAGAGGTTGCATTTGCTTAGTGAGGAGGGTCTGAAAAGAGATCAGGGGAGGATCTTCTATTTCGACTTGCAGGAGGCAGAACTCAAAGGCACCCGCTGGGGCCGGTTCCACCACCAGGGCGCACGCTGAGCTTCCAGGTACCTCTGATCAGCAGCATACTTGAGTCTGGATTCAGTGCAGAAAGGCCCTGGGCTCTTTGGGTTGCTTTTCTCATTAATCCTTGAACAAAGCCCAGCTGGACAGTCATCTCTGTGCTGCCGCCTCTCCTCAGTGAGGACGCCCCGGGGCAGAGGCAGAAAGGAGAGCCTGCAGCCATAGCCGTGGAGACCAGTGACCATCATGGAGCTCAGGCCCAGCACCCAGGAGCCCGTCTCGCTCCATCTCTCAAGGGCCCGTGGGGGGTTTACAGATGAGAAGCTGGAGACACAAAGGTGTTACGGAACTGACTTGGGGTGCCGCGTGGCAGCTGCAGACTGAAGGCCGGGTGGGCTCCAGCGCAGGACCCAGGATCTCGACAGCGAGTTTGTGAGGCTTGCCTGGTCTCGTCTAAGAGGGAGAGGGTTTCAAACGGCAGCCACCCAACGTCTGCTTCAGGTTGTGTTTTAACAGCCCCGCCTCGAAGCCTAGCATCCCCCTGCTGATCAGACCTCCCCACCCTCGCTGGACCCAGGAGCTCACCTACTGCAACTGTGGGAGACAGAGGTGAGCGTCCATGTGGGGCTCTGAGTGCCTGCTCCTGAATCACACAGACCCGAGGCAGACCCCCGGCCGGGCACGCAAGCTGGGTGAGACCTTAGCAGTGGCCCTGTGGAATCAGGGGGACACTGCCAATCTCCTGGGGCTTCACTGAGCGGTGGATGAAATCATGTAGGAAGTGTCTGCCCTGCGGCGGGTGGCCAAGACATCCGCGATGGCTCTTAGGGTCTTTCAGACAATTCTCCCGCTGGGTGGAGCCCTGGAGGCCAGCACAATACCAAGGCCTTTCTGCTCACTGCCAAGGCTCCCTGACCGGCGCTTTACACAGCCTCCACCCCGCCCGCCCTGGTTGAGGGCAAACACCTCCCCGCACTGGCCTGGCCCCTTCCCCTGGCTTCTGTTCTGTCTGCCCACACATGGCATCCCGCCTTGGGCGGGTTCTCAAGCCTGCATTCAAGGGCATTCAAGTTCATAGCTCTCAAGACAAGGCCAGGGGAGCCAGGCTGAGACACGGCTGTTTTCTGGGTGGTTTTAAATCCACTTCCCCATGGAGGAGCAGGTGCAAACGGCCCCCAGGTGCCTGCCAGCCTCCTCTGGCTGCTCTTACCTCATCTCTCTCCTGTCCCCTTCTCTTCCTGTCCTTGGCTACCCTCATATTGCAGAGAGGAGGGGATCTGAGGAGAGGAGAGGCCTCGGCCCTTCAGACTTCATTCCATCCCCCACAAGCCTGCAGTTTGAGAACTGGCCTCACTCAGGTCTGAGACATGATGTGAGACCTCACTCTTCCGCTCTTCATGTTCAGGAAACATCTGGAAGCTCCCCTGGGGAGATCTGTCACATGGCCTCTGGTGAACTTCAGACTTCTCCATACTCTTTCAGAATTGTTCTTCTGTTGGGTTTTATGAGAAATTATATATATATA